GGTCCCGGACACAGCAGGAGAAAAATGTGGAACAAATTTCAAATTCACAAAAAAAGAACAGATTTACTGGTCTAACAGACTGGAGGAACTCCTGAGACTATGGTCCCCAGACACCCTGCTAACTCAGAACTGAAGCCACTCCCAAAGTTCACCTGTCAGCCAAAGATTAGATGAGCCTATAAAACAAACTGGAGCCCTGGTAGCTCAGTGGTTAAAAGACTCAGCTGCTAACCCAAAGGTTGGCAGTTTGAACCAACCAGCAGCTCCTCAGGAGAAAGATGTGGCAATCTCCTTTTGTAAAAATTACAGCCTTGGAAACCCTGGGGGAAACAAAAAATAACACAGGTGAGGAACGTGCTTCTTAGATCAATCAAGTATACAAGACCAAATGGGCAACAACTGCCCAAAAGCAAAGATGAGAAGGCAGGAAGGGACAGAAAAACTGGACAAACAGAAATGGGGAAGCCGGGGTGGAAAGGGAGAGAGTGTTGACACATTGTGGAGACTGCAACTAATGTCACGAAACAATTTGTGTATAAATTTGTGAATGAGAAACTAATTTGCTCTGTAAACGTTCACCTAAAGCACAATTAAAAAAAAAAAAGTAATGAACCCAAAAGGAGTAAATACCTAAGGGCTATGCGCTGATATTTCTTCAAGTTATTTACTCACACTATTTATTATTTGGAATCTAATGGCATAAATATTGGTTGAATTGAGGAAGTAAAGGAGAAAGTGTCACCTTGGGTAAGCCTCTGTCTTATAACAGAAACATCTTATACTATTTTGTCTTAGGAATAATTAAAGAGTACTGTAGCAGTGCATATCTCATGTATTTTTACTGAATCAAAGCAAATAATTTTGGGATTTTAAATGGACCTTAAATGTCACACCTTGCAGAAAATGTGTTGAGAAAAATATACCAAAGATATGTTTAAAAATACAGACCTGAATAATCACGTTATTTCCATCATTTATTTAAACAAAATTAAAAAGTCTAAAACTCAAAACCCCAAACCTCTTTGTTTTGTTTTTGTTTTATTTAAGGACAAAACCATTCAGTACTTTTTCATGAAAAGGTTTTTTTATTATAAGGAGTCATACTTTAAACATAAGAAATATTATAAAATTATAACTTTACAAATAACTCACTTTTTGATCAACACACCACGCAATTTGAACATCTACAGATGTTCAATGTTATTATATAGAAATACAGTAAATACATTTTAGAACAGTATCAAAATAAAATTTACAATATATTAACAGATATCCAAAACTCAATCTCAAAAAAAAATTAAGTGTATGCCATGATTTTTATAAAAGATAAATTTTTTTTCCAAAAATGTAGAATATTTTGTGTCTATAGCAATACAATTACATGAAACAAACTGTTCAAAATTGAAAATGTTTCTTTAAAACTACCTTTAAAATTTTTTTTCAGTTTCTCCTTTTTATTACTGCTTAAAAAATATTTATGGCTATATAACTCAATGTCTCCAGTTGAAACAAAGATTTCACATTCAACTTTCATCCTCATAGCAAATAATAGCTGTGAGTCATTCCTTAGAACTCAGTTTTCAGGTAATAGGATAGGGAACATGCTGTGCCATTTTGAACACTTCACGATTTTAGAAGTATTTTAAAACCATGATGTGTGTAAGGGCTTGTAATTACTCTGATACCTCTTCAACTGTGTCGAGAAGACAATAAATGTGCATTTTGCACGAGGCACAAAATACTTGCAGCTGTGAGTTGAACAGCATCTCCTATCTCTTTATTCACTAATAACTTCAGTAAAAGACTTAACTGGCCTTCTGATCTAGTACCTCCATCAGCATAATAGCAAAGCTACTAGCACCCATATATTTTTAGATGTATCAGAGAAAGAAGAGGATATTCTATCATCAGTCTTTTGCACCTTTGGTGGATAGCTGTGATCTATTTATAAGAACCATTATTCTTTTGAAAACTCCATTTGCAGATGAAATTCATTTTGCCTACTATGCAAGGTAGACAATGATAACTGAAGAAGACCAGGGAGTCTTTCTAGAGTTGATAAAGGCCTAGCAATAACACAGGCCTAAATGCAGGGTGATTTACTTGGAAAAAATGTCTATTTGCTAAAGTAACAGGTGAAAATATTATAAATTATACACCATGTGAAAAATTATGTCTCTTCAGTTAATTGTAAGTCACATTATAATGCTGGATATAGCAGCTCCAAATAGAAGTAACTGATCACTGCCTTTACAATTAAATTCTTAAAGGATTTCACATCATATAATTATATTTTTGAAACATCACAGAAACCCAAAATGCACCTATTTATAATCATCAGAATGTACACATGTGATCAGGACAGAGTTGTGTTCAAGGCCAGATTGAGCTCAAGTTCAATCAGCATCTGCATTCTCTGCCACAATAAAAGAAAATACACCATGTGCTCTTAGTGGCCACAAAAAGAAGATGCTGTTTTGTATGAAAGGAAATCAAGAACAAATAAAAATCTCATCCTTGACTGGAAAAAACTTTCACACAAGAGAAAACCAGAGTCCCTCTGAAAATATCCAGTGGTACCAACGCGATGGATTTTTTTTTTAATTTGGCTCATCATAACAGCAGGAGGGAAGCCAACACTTATAGATTATGTGCCCGCCCCAAAAACAGACCCTGTTCCTTTTGGTGTACTGAGAAAAGTGCACAAAATGGTGTAAAGCTCACAAAGAGATGTACTTTCAAGTATGGAAACAAAATGTCATAAAGAAACTGGCCTTGTTATCAGTTTAGCAAGAGAGATGAAAGATAAGGATATTTCAGAACAAAACCTATTTAGTATATAAAGCACCTGGGCCCAGCTGAAGCCCTTAGTAATGATAACTGCCCATTTAATGCTAAAGTAGAGCATTGTCCTGGTGGTGCAGTGGTTAAAGCACTCAGCCCCTAACCCACAAGGTGGGCTGTCTGAACCCACCAGGTGCTCCTCGAGAGAAAGATGTGGTAATCTGCTTCCATAAAGATTAAGCAAAACCAAACTAAATCTGTCGCCATCAAGTCAATTCCAACTCATAGCAAAGCCCTATAGGACAAGGCACAACTGTCCATCAGGTTTCCAAGGAGCAGCTGGTGGATTCAAACTGCCAACCTTTTCGGTTAGCAGCCAAGCTCTTAACCACTGCGCCACCAGGGCTCCCCATGAAGACTACAGCCTTGGAAACCTTATGGGTCAGTTCTACTTCGTTCTACAGGGTCACTATGAGTCAGAAATAACTCAATGGCAATGGGTTAAACAACTATATTTACAGCTGTACATGGATATGGGTACCTTACACACAAAAATTCTAGAAAGATAATTGTGGGCACAGCCACTTTGTGAATATGACATTCAATAAATCACAGAGAATCAACATCAAGTGTCAGTTTTCGTGCATGCCCAAAAAGGAAGGATAAACTGACATTCACCAATAATAAACAATGACTCATCATTTCAATTCTAACATCCAGTGCCAAGAAAATTTTGCTGTTGTTTAAATTTAAATATTTCTGTGGGACTCTTAAATCATCCAACAACTTCTCCATCTCTAAAAATACCAGCTCTTTTCTGTGTCCTTCTAAGACAGATGGTATTAAGAATTAAGAATAATAGGTATTTTGGGACCTCCAAGAGAAACCCATTAAAAAATACCAACAAATTACAAACTGAGCTGGATCCTATTTTCAAATGGCAAGAGCAATAATAAGACAATCCACATTCTATAAGCTACTTTTGTTACACAGTAATGACTAAATCAGCTTATGTGCAAGTTTCGGATTAATCAGACAAAAGAAAATCAGCTTCATAGCATTAAACTTGCTACGAGAAAGGGGAGTGGATGGCAGTAAAACTTAAAAGTTTCACCAGAAAATAACAGAGTTATCTAAGCAATAAGTCAGCATGAAAAGGAAACTACTTCTGATTTCCTAGAAGGCGTCCCTCACAGGTTATTATTTCTGATTACTGTGGTAGAACATAGCATTTTTCATCTAATGCTTTGGAAGAATGCTTGGTCACCATGCTCTGCCTTATTTAATGATTTGTGTTGAAACCATTCATTTCCATTTTCTCTTACATCTGTAAAATGTCAAATAAGAGTGACAAGACAGTCAATTTACCCTCAATTTTCTCAATAATGTAAGGTTTTGGAGAGTGTGTATAAGAACCCTAAAATAATAGGCTAATATATTTTCTCAATTCTCCTTTCCCCTTATTCCACGGGGTGGAAGGAGAGGATCTATTTCTGATACCATCTCCTCTAAAGTTTAAGGGGTTTAAAACGGTTGCTCTTTAACCCAAAAAATGTTCTCAAACAGTTATTTTCTGAGTAAATATCTTTCGAAAGAAAATTCTACAAAGACTATTAAACCTTCCCTGGAGTGTTTATAAAAGGCATAACATAAAAGTAGCTATGAGTGAAAGAAGAAATAATGCTTTAAGTACTAAAAAAAAAAAAAAAAAAAAATCAAATGTAAGCGGTTCTCCTTAACCGGCCTCTTTCTCACCCTTCTTCCACACAAGCACACACGCACGCACACACACAGAGGCAGCAAAATAGATTTCAACTATAAGTTTTAAGGGCAATGACAAAGAAGCAGAAAAGAAAATCAATCAATTCTTGTTTTACAAGTAGGGAAAGTGAGCCATAGAAATCAAGAGGCCAGACGAATCTCCCTCCCCTTCCTCAGTGAATCAGAAACAATGCATCCAGACCCATAACAGGCATAATTCACATTTCATTTCCTGAACATATCCTGTTGAAACTAGTATAAACAAAATTAAGATGTCACAAGGTAAATCATACTCCAATTCTAATTTCCACTGCATTGATATTTACAAAAGAATTACAAATTATTGCATCAACAATATTGCATTGCAACAACAATGTGTAATTTTCCACGTTAGTGGAAAACAAAGTGTGAGTGTTAACAGGGTACAAAATCATCATCTATCTAGAAATACTCCTTAAAATTTACTTCAAAAAAACTTTTGAATGAATATTAAACTTGACCATAATTTTGGGTAATTTATCTTAAGCATACTAAACAACTGTGTTAAAAAGTACCCAGAAATCAAAATTATATTGCAAAGAGTGTAGTCCACACACGTAACTAAACCAGATCATAACAGTATGTAAAACCAGATCTTATAGGTTGATGTTTTGTTTTGTTTTGATAAACAACGGTTCATTTCTTCAGAGACGGATCATCCACATCACAGTCGTCCTTGTTTGGCATCACCAATAGCTCCCCAAACATCAAAGACAAATTCATCAGGAAATGCAAAGTCTCCAAGACGTTCGTCAAGTGCCAGAGCAAATTCATCTGGATTAACTTTGTCCTTTCCAGCTTCAAACATTGTGGTAGCTATCAAAAACAATATTAAGAGATTAATGATAAATAAGATAAGCATCAGAGAACTGAGAAAAAAATGGTGCCAGGAAAATGCTTTCTAAAAGTAACATGCATAAATATTTTTCTAATGCAAATTTAAAAAATTATACCCTCTATTATGTATCAAAGTAGCAAAGATATTTTTTAACAATCTTCCCACTGTACCCAGGTTTGAAGCTGCTACCCCCGCCCTCTCCCTCATCTAGGAGCCCATCATTCAGTAATCCTTGGGATTCCTGTGCGTGGAACATGACACCCTGAAAGAAGACCCGTCACTGACCATGGCAGGAGACTCAGGGTACACTCCTTCCTCTACCTCCCCACAGTCACTAGCTCTCTATGTCCCATCCACCAGTTCCCTACCCCCAACTATGATGAAGTCTAGTCCTCCTTCCCCAAAGAAAAAAAGACAAAGGATATAGCTTGCAATGGGGTTTTCAAACTAGAAGGGGAGGAAAACATCTAGGTACCCATGGAATTAAGGCCTCTCTTCTGAGCCCCTCTTCAATCTGGGGTAGAAAGTAATGGTGGTGCCTTTGTTCTGTTTTTCTAGTAAGTTGCCTGAGCTCCATTGTTTACATCTGGGGAGTACACATTCCCATGGGACCTGTTCCAGCTGGCTGGGAGCCCATGAGGTTCAGTTGGTTCTTGCTCAGCCCCCAACGAGCACCAGCAACGAGGAAGAAAAACTGTGATTGTGATTTGAACTTGGGGAAGTTCACTCCCTAAACCTTTAGGTAAAACGGAACACTATGCCCAAGAAAAGCTGCAGCCTTCGTCAATTACAGATTAAGGCCCTGGTGGCGCAGTGGTTTAGAGCTTGGCTGTTAACTAAAAGTTTGGCAGTTTGAATCCACCAGCCGCTCCTTAGAAACCCTACTGGAGCAGTTCTACTCTGTCCTATAGGGTCACTATGAGTCAGAATCGACTCAGTGGCAACCAGTTTGGGTTTTCTTGGTTAATTAAAGGTTGTATGATTTCTCTGAATGAGTCATGAGGTCTGGTCTTTCAGCAAAAATTCACTAGTTCTCTTAAGAGCTTTTCCCTTCTCAAATAGTTCAGTAATAACACAAGCCAGGCTGGGGGGAAAGGGGACGAGATGGCCTATAGCAGGACACCACCCATCAGAGTAGAAGCTGGGTGGTACTGGGGTGACCTGGTGCAGGAGTCCAAGCCCAAGCAAGGTGAAAAGGGGCAGTCTGGTGTGGATGGGAGTCCAGGTGTGGTAAGGAGGGCATCAGGGAAAGGGTTGGGGAAGAGTGTGGGCAGTAGCCACAGTGATGAGACTAGTTACGTGAGGATTGATCACATAAGTACAAATACTGAGAATAATGGGAGCCAGGTTTGTCACTGTCAGAGAAGGACAAATAATGAAAGGGAAAAAATTTGAATCAACCCTGTGGTATTGAACTGGAATTGTAGATATTAGCAGGGTTAAAAATATATGTATATATATACATGCACACATATTCAATGGAGAGAAAAAGTTTTAAAATACAGATATAAATGCATACACACACATATTCCTAGCTCAGTCCACTGAGAGGACTGGGACTAAGACACCCCAATAGCAAAGAGCACACAAAGCACTTAGATCTTGGCTTTTAGTAGAAATATTATTCTCTACTAAAAGGAATCAGAGTTCCCTGGGGAAATGGTTAATTCCAGGGCTGGAGCAGGCAAAGGACAAGAGAGCCAAGAACATCTTGTGGCAGAAAGTAAAGAAGTGTCAAATAATGATGGCAACGTGTGAAAAGGACACAGAAGTCAGAGTGAAAGGGCTCCCACTGACCAAATCGGGGACAATTTGAGCATCAAAAAGTGATGGAAATAGACTATAACCCCATCGAATAAAATAGAAAACCATGAATCCATACTGAAATAGATATAGATGGACGGATGGACAGATAGATAGATACAGAAAGAAAATTAGTTCGATGAGGAACAGGATATTTAAATAACTTCAAAATACCTCCCCACCAAACACTTTATTAATTACAAAGAAATAACTTTACAGTCGAGAAGGCTGGTAAACACCATCTTAAACAAGTTATCAAAATGAAGAGCATCAGTAATAAGACAAATCAAAATCCTGTGCCTCCTGATAGGATGCAATGGAAAGAATACAGCATCATTTTTGTGAAAATCTGCCAAAGAGGTATATCCTGAATATAATTATGAAAAAAAAAATCATACAAACCAAAATTAAAGAACATTCTACCAAATAACTAGCCTGCACACTTCAAAAGCATCAAGGTTATAAAAATGAAGTAAAGAATGGGAAACTGTTCCAAACTGACTTCATAACTAAACACAGTACCCGATTTTGAACAGTTTTTTGTGGTTACAGATATTAAGACATCTGGTAAAACATGAAAAGGATCTGAGTATTAGATGGCAGTAATGTACCAATGTTAATTTCTTTATTTGTGTGGTTGTACTGTGGTTAGATGGGAGATGCCTTTGCTTACAGAAAATGCACACTAAAGTATTTGGGTGCAATAGGTCATCCTTAAAGTAACTTACTCTCAAATAGTTCAGAAGAAAAAAGTCTTTATATTCTTATTTATAATTTTTTGTAAATTTGAGGTTAAGTTTTTTTGAAAAAAAAAAAAAAAGCAGTAGAGAAGAGGGAGGAACTGAATCTTTTTTCATCATCATCCCCTCTTTCCCACCTTGCCCCCCAGGCTGTGGCCATGATCCAAAGGCTTCTCCATCTACCATCATCCTAGAAGCAAACACTTTAAAAAGGAGGGAGTCCTTGGCTGCTGCTGAAACTTCTGCCCAGCCCAAGTGCCCTGGCAAGTTACCCAGCTCTTCCAAAGCTCCCAAGCTTATTAAAGCTTTTCATATATTTATTTTAAAAAATGATATGCCAAAGCTGGCTAAGGTATAGTGAAGCAAACACTCAGATACACTTGACTTTGTAAATTTGGCTTTTAAAAAACAATTTGGCAACATGTATCAAGATCATTAAAAGTCTTTGATCAACCTATTATTCCACTTCTGGGAAAATATTTTTAAAAACAGAAAAGAACCTAGCATAAAAATGTGCTTACCCCTTTCCCCTCCTAAGAAAAAACTATAATGTAGGATCATTAAGTTACCTCTGGTATGATGAAATATAGTAGACGAAATATTTTTAAATCATTTTAAACAATGTTTATGAATACTCTGTAATAATTTTAGGAAATATTATTTTAATATTTACTGAGAGAGCAGTACATAAATTTTATATTACAATCACAACTATGTTTTTACAAAAATCTCTGTATTTGGGATGGATACATGGAGAAGTGTGTGATAAATCAGTAAAATATTAATGGTAGAATCTAGATGATAGGTACAGAGGTATTCACTAAAAAGTCTTTCAACTGTTCTGTATGATTGAAAATTATCATAATAAAATACTAGGGGGAAGAACCTCCACACAGACAATGGAAGAAAATTTAACAAAATAGATACATTCAAATTGGGGGTAAAGTTATTATCTTTTTTTTAAGTCAGGGCTATATTTGACACAGTAAAACTATGCCTGACTTGTAATATTTACTCTGTATACTCATAAGTACTAGATGTAATTTAAAAATTATTTTCCTAAGCCACTCAGGAACATCTTAATGTCTACAAGGAACACTTAATCTCTTTCAACAGAGTCACAGTAATCAAGAAAAAAGGAAAGGTGCCCCTCAGAGTGCATTCCACAAGAAACCAAGTATTCGGGAAACAGCAGTACTCCCAGGGTTCCCCATACACCTGGCGGTTCTGTCTGTCCCTCCTACCCTTAAATGGTCTTGCCCTGGAGATCTTATCCACAACCCCAGCCTAACTATGACCTTCCTACAGAGAATTCCCCAACCTTTGCTTCCATCCCAACTTCTCTCATGAGTTCTAAATACCCATTTACAAATAACTAGCAGACTAGATGTTGTTCACATCTCAAACAGCATGTCCAAAAATCAAACACCTTCTTCCCTTCAAAAAAAACTGCAGTTCTTCCTCCTGTCTCCACTGCTATCATTAATGACACAATCATTCTTCCTGTTGTCTCTCTCTCCTCCAGGTCCATCAGCCTGTGCACCAAACACTGCCTCCCCTTGGTTCTACCTTTACAATCTCTCCAATCCATTCCTTTCCATGGAGCAGTGGTTAAGAGCTCAGCTGATAACCAAAAGGTCAGCCGTCTGAATCCACCAGCCACTCCTTGGAAACCCTATGGGGCAGTTCTAGTCTGTCCTACAGGGTCGCTATGAGTCGGAATCGACTCAACGGCAACAAGTAGTAATTAGCCACCGCACTACGGTAATACCTGTGAAAACCAGAACCTGTGTAAGGCAGAAACCTGTCGGAGAAGGAAAACTCAAATATTTTCCACTAAAACAAGTGATAAAAAAGTGGTAAGACTGCACCCTTTCAAAGGTGGAAAACTTTCAATACCCGGAAGAACAAGGCAGTCCCGTCAAGTTCTGGCTCTCACAGGTTTCACTGTATTTCTGTTCCCATTCATCTCAGCTACATGATTGCATAACTACATTACTGCCTCCTAAACTGGTCTCCTTAATCTCCAGGTCAGCTCACCAAATCATCCCCCATAGGCACCTTAGATAAATCTTTATAACGCACAACTCTGATCCTAATAGATAATGAGACGAGGGGACCGTGAAGTTCTTTTCCACCCCTGAAGTTCCTTTTCATCCATATATAAATATATTCCCTATCACCACTGCTTATGTTGAAATCTATAAACCCTAGTCTGGTATTCTGGTCCAAAGCTCCCGTGGCCCCCAAATGGCCACACTCCTATCCACTACCCTGTGCCCTCGTAAACCTGACCACTCAACACCCATCTTTCCTCCTTCCCAGGATGACTATCTCCCTGTCACCAGCTCCACTGTCGAAATTCTCTCTCTCTTTCAGGGCATCCTCCTCCATGAAATCCTGTGTCCACAATTTGAAGTGATATCTTCAGTCTC